GTGTGTGTGTGTGTGTGTGTGTGTGTGTGTGTGTGTGTGTGTTGCAGTGATTCGTGGAAAGAGGTGGACGGTAAATAGGACGTACTTGTCTGATGACCGCCACATGGGGGCAACAGATTGAAGTACATTCATGTTGCTGAGCTGAGCTCCGAGGTACTGGGATGAGCTCCAGGACTAAAAACACTGATGTTTTGTCCCGGYTTGAACAAAGTCCAAGTTTCAGGTTTCATCCGACTGAGATAACTCTGAACTTTAACCCTGAAAATATTTAGATTCAAGACATTTAAGCGGGGACGGGGGACTAGGATGTTTGCTTTACCTCCATTTCTTATTTCAAGTTTAGTAAAGAGTTTGTAAAACCATTTTACTTTCTTCATTTAAACAAATACCTATTCCTAATCAGCCAGTTTTTCCTTTTTTTTCCTGGGTGCTTATAAGTTTTAAAGACAAAGATATTTACTCTTGTTTGTGCTTTCTAGGCTTCTGTAGAAACACAACATAGTAGGAGTGAAATAAGATCTGTTGCATCTTTAGATTGGTGTAAAGTATCAAAAAACTATTTTCTCTTTTTTTGTGACACCAGTAGAAAACGAAACCAAATATTATTAGTTTACGTAGTTTATTTATTTCTTCATCATCAGTGACTTCTTTAAGTGAAGAGAAAATAGAGAAAGAGAGAAAAACAGAGACTTGTTTAAAAATGTATATTTTTCCTTTTTCGGGGCCTGCAAATAAACCATATGTTAACAAAAAAATAAAAAAGTTTGGTGTAAAGTAAGAACCTGATACAATCACACTGTTTAAAATCAACAACAAAAAGGCAACATACTGCCATTAATGTTTAGGACTGGAATTTGGAACTAAAACTAACAAAGTGGTCTTGTTGCTTTTCCTTTTAAAATAAAATGCTACAATTATTATTCTTTATGCACTTTGCACTTATTGTGCTTTAATATATTTCCTCTTTTTTTTTACAAAAGTCATTGTTTTTAATCGTTGTGTCAGAAAAGGGCACGACCTACAGAGCACAAATAAAGAAAAACCTGATCTACAATAAACCCTTTAATCAGAAAAAGTCACTGAAATATTAATCAAACTACAAAAAATAATATGTAAACATAAAAAAATTCTGTACTTATGACCAAATGTCTTAGGCTAAATTACCACACCTGAAAAACTACTGTGCATAAAACCTTTTTTTTTTTACGTTGCAAGATAAATATCCCWTATTTTGTTTTCAGAAAAGAGAGAAGTTTGAACTAAAATAAACCAGGAAGTCCTTATGAAGTCGCCACATTAAAACTTTGCAGATACAGTAACTGGTTAGTTTAAACTTTCAGGAAAACCAGTGAGATAAGTGAACAAAGCAAATCACAATTGGTTTGTGGTCTCAGGATGATGGTAATAAAGTATATATAGAGAGACCAGAGTGAACCATTACAGGCCACACAAGGTGCCTAATAAATCTGTATCTCACTCAATAAATATCACGTGACATAATTTAATTGGTTTACTTAGATTTTATCCTTAAAATCCAATAAATGATTTAGGAATTATATATCTGTGGCATACACAGGCCATAAACGATCCCTGTGTAAACATATAGAACCACAAAACCCATCAATGTGAGCAGGAGGCTAAACATAAAATAACTTCAGTTTTTCTCACTTTCTCTGTCAGCACTCACACCGTCAATTATGAGATTGTCATCAGTTTTTGTTCCGTTTTTGTCCCACTTTGTCACTTTAAAGCTACAAAGTTTATAATTGAATGGGCTGCCCTGCATGTTCACTGTGTCTGGATGATATCCTGTGGGAGCGCTGGTTTCCTCTTACAAACCACAAACATGGCAGACTGTATACTGACTGTGTTCTCTGTTTGTGTATAGAATCATACACTGCACTGTAAACGTGTCCTGTCCAGAGCGTACTGTTGGCCTGTAGCACTCAAGACAAAATTTTAGATGACAACACATTTTATTATCATTTACCAAAGTATTTAAATTTGATAAAATGACTGGAACTCTTGAGAAAAATCATGCCCGTATGTACTCTGACAGAGGGGCATTTTCTGTGGCATGAAGGCACATCAATAATGTGACTTATTGTTATCAGATGGCAAGAAATGAATGCTTTTGATCAGAGGAAGGATGTGATGAAAGGAGAATAAAAAGTAGCAGCTTTGAAGTGCCCATAAGGTTGAAATATGTGGAAAACCAAACTTCTATTCAACTCTTATTTAAATTTGTACTTATCATATAATCAAAGTGTCTAAAATGTAACTTTTATTGTTTGAATGCATTTTTTAAAGCAATGGCAGCAATTTAACCTTTTTTATGCTTTATTTTTCATAAAAAGAAATATTACTTTTGTGTTTTTGGTGCAACTATACAATCCTCCTGCAGCCCCATTGATGATAATGCAAATTCAAGTTGTTTCAGACATAACAAATACTGYTTTTTTATTAGTATTTTTATTTTGTTCAGGACACCTTAGCTGGAGCCCCTGCTCCGATGGGGTTGAAAAAAAAAAGAGAGAAACACCTTTTGTTGCCGATATATTAAGTCTGAGCATTGGTAAGTGCGTGTGCCTTTAAGCAATGAGATTCTTTTCTTATTTTTTTATACAGCATTTATATACAGCGTCTATACAGAAAACATTCACACCAACACGGGCGCTGTGGACGCACCCTCCAATTTATCTTGACTGTTCGGAGGAGAAATAAAGGGCAAGTAAAAATGAAGAAATACATAAACAATTGAAACAAAAAAGTCCAGAAAGCAGTTCGTTCAAGTTGAAAGAAAAAAAAAAGCATGCATATATTTTTTTGGGGGAATTGCTTTTGATTTTTAGAAGTATATGGTTTATTTTGCAGTTTGTGAAGCTGTTTGCAACTTGTTTTGAGAAAACTGACACAAACAGGAGATGAATGAGATGGAGAAAAATGTTTAAAAAATGTCTTTAACAGCTAAAACAGCACAAAAGCACAAAAAATCCCAACATGGCAGAAGTCATTGTTGCTTTTTTATCTCTATTTGAATTGAGCACAATACAAATAGAAACTCCAGTTCTTTCACAACATTGATGTTTCACTCTGAATGCTCTTCCTCTCGTACAGGAAAAAAATCAAATACATTCTAAAAAACCAAAACTAAACAAAAAACAGGATGATATCGATGATTTAAACACAGGTTACCCTTGCTGCCTGCTCTRCAGGCCCGCTTCAGTTGAAAAATGCAATCTAGTCCAGATCCATAGCCTTATTTTGTTGTGAGGTTTAAAATCTTTTTGGTTTATTTTTACAATTAAGAACAAGAACGTTAAAATGTATATGTTTGCTTAACTGATTCTGTGACTGATATGTTGTGTTTTGGAGCATCACCATTGTGAGCGTGTGCTAACTATAAGTACTGTGTACAACCTTGGAGCTAAATATTGTAAACGATATGTTGGGTTTAGGTCCATGTGTAGAAGAGTGTTGAATTGTGAGTGTATATTATTAATGTTATTATTATTCAGGAGGTGGCAGTGTTGGAAATGAGGGGAGGGGATCAGTGTTTGCGGGGATATGGCCCTGACACACAAATCTTTCATGCGCTCATCTACAAATACACTCTTCCTCGCAGAGCCACTCGGCTCTACTTCTTCCTGTAGTTCCCCAGTTGGATAGCGGTGCGGTCGAAGACGCAGCGGAAGGTGATCGGCTGGACTTCCCAGTAAGGGACGGGGTTGCTGAACAGGCTGATGCCAGAGTACATGGCCTTCTTGGTGTTGAAGCCAGGAGGGCAGAAGTCCTCCGTTCCCACAGCAGCGATTTTGTTGACATGGAGATAGACCACCTGGAGAGGGGATTTAAGTAATGAGAGCACTGGGTTACTGAATGAGACGTCTTTAGCAATAATTAGGGTTTATCAAACTATAGCAAATAAAACTGATTATATGTGTCAAGATGAATGATGAACAGGTCAGGTAAAATCATTTTTGAATCACTGAATCAGGTGTTGGCGCAGAGAAACATGCAGGCTAGTGACCCTCATGAACCAAGACTGGACACCCCTTGTGTAGTCAGAAATACTAAATGTATCTAATGCTTTATTTGGCTGTTTGTCTTATTATACCCTTATTTAATAATTGATCTATCAGCAGGGTTTGTATATTTCAACTACAACTATCTTTGTTGCAAATCCCTTGTAGGACAAAACTGCAATATTTGGGAATCATTGCTCTTGATGTCTTGACTGGTAAATTAAAGCTCTTTCTTTGCCACAATTGTATAGTGTTTAGCAGAAATACTGCAGCACTCTATAATTTTTGTGTCCGTTTTACCTCTYTTCTGAACGAGACCCCAAACAAAAGCTTGAGTCTCTTTAAACTGCTCTGGGCAAAGCAGCAGCTTTAACTGCCAAACTGGCACTGCTCTATAATTTTGCCAAAATCATTCCAATACAGTATAAAAACCAACTATCTTTAAATAAAAGTGGCAATAATCTAAATATGTTTGTGAAACCGGTGTGTATACCTGGATGTATTTATGATCAGGGAGGCCAGGAGGAACGCTGGTCAGGACGTTGTTGTCGAGGTGCAGCTCTCGCAGATGTGGCACATTAGCTAGAGAGCCATTTTCCACGGTGCTGATCTCATTGTAGCTCAGTCCAAGCCTGCGAGGAAAAGCAGCCCATAGATGAGTCATGCGTRGAATAACAAGAGACAAAAGAGCGCAGAATGCTTGTTTTGCACAAATGAGAAAGTAAAAGTTTGTTTCTCACTGCATAATTTATTGTTAGTCGATACAAAGAGATTTCAGAAACGTTATTTTTTCCCCTCATTTAATTACCCAAACCTAATTAGCACTTTGTTAAAATAGAGAATTTAACAGTTATTACTTGGCCAGGTTCTTCAGGCCTTTAAGGCTATCGCTTGTTACTTTGGTGATCTTGTTTCCATCCAAGTGAAGCTCAGCGAGAGAGCTGGGCAGACCTGCCAATCAACAAGAAAAGGAATTACATCAAGAGAAAAGTAATTCTCTTCAATCTAATGTGACATTATGATACGACGTTAGGAAAGGGTTTTGTTTTTTTGTCTATGAAACCTAAAGGAAGGCTTCAATGGAGCCCTGTTTTGACGTGATGGATTCTGGTTGATAGGCAACAACTGTAATGTCCAACACAACTTTGTGAACACACTAATGCTGGACTCAAATGGCTTTTACCAGCTATACCATATGTATACACAGAATTTTGTATCACCAGTCTTGCATCAGTTGGATAATTCACAGTGTGTTTAATCTYATTAACCCAAAAGCTGTTGCTCCATTATGGAGACAAAAGATGGTAATTCTTGTCTGAACTTCTCTGCCTTTGCATCAAGTCTCCTGTGTTTCAGTTACTTATCGAAGGATTCATGAGATTCTTTACCTTTGGGAATGTCTGTGATGTTGGTGTCAGCAATCCGAATGTAAGAGACCCTTTTCAGGTCAGCAAAAGCATTGGCCTCGACTCCTGCGCTCCTCAGAGGGTTGGACCCAAGCTCTGGAAATACATGAGTGACAAAGAGTATTGAAGTTAATTACATAAGAGAAAAACTGAACTAAAGTAAAGGAAAACATGGAGCTAATTTGTTATTCTTGGGCAGGGAATTGACACTCAACCAGGTTTCACAATTTAAAACTGGAAAATAATGAATTTCTTGTTGTATTTAAAGCAACAATTGGTGGATCAATCAAAAGAGTGTTGTCCAGTCCTTGACTCAAGCCTTCCAGGGAAAAAAAACCCCTGATCACCACAATAAGAAATCTGCTTCTTCCTAGGTGACCAATCAAAATGGTTTAGCCAGTTACTGGTCCATATATAACAGGTCAAGAGAAATAGCACAGCACACCACAACTGGCCCACATTCCCTGGCCCAGGTCCGTTGTACTGTAACTGAACCAAGTCTTTCAGTTGCCCGCTTGAGCCATCGTTCCATAAAATGGGACCAAATGTTCCGAATATAATCAAAACTAATCCAAATCCAAACACCCAAAACTAAATCCTAGTTTACACACAGCCAAGTTTGGCTTTGTGCTGTCTTAAATAATTTCCAGGGTCAACGTCCTTACTGAAACTGCATGCCCATTTGGAAACAAAGGAAATTGTCTCATACCCATGACGATCATGTGAGCCATGCCCTGGAAGGAGGCCTTTTTGATCTTGGTGATCTCATTCTCGTGGATGCGAAGCTCCTGAAGGCTCTTGGGCATGTTGGCCGGCACGTCCTTCAGCAGGTTCTTGGACAGGTAGAGGCGCTGCAGCTTCGTCAGGGGGCTGAGAGCTTTGGCATGGATGACGGTGATCTTGTTGTTCACCAGGATCAGGGCCTAGATGGAGGAACAGTGGGGAAATATGGAGTCATTTTTCTTATTAGATTGGAAGAAMATGGTGTAGAAAAGAAATTGGATCAAAAAACAAGCTGAGCACGTTTTTYCCCCCCTCTGCCTAAATGCACCACAGGTTTTTATTAAGAGACTCAGCTTAGATAATGTGTTTTGAACCCAGCAGTTGTTGAATTCCCTGACTTGGTACGCATACCCAAGTTGAAGCCCACCATTAGTTTTCCTTAACACTTTTTTTCTGGAAACAGAAAGCATACTTTGTAAGGTATGTGGACCATTCCTTWTAATAGGTCTGTTCCATTATATTTGGAAGCCATCATGGCTGTCAGAGGGAGTTATTCACCRTAAGAAGAAAGCTTCAGGGGTCATGGGGATTAGGTTTGAAGGTCTTCTATGTGAAAACTTTCATTGCAGCTGAAAACTTGAGGGATGTTGCTGGTGTTCATTGAGTTATTGGTGTTCTGGTTAGCTGAGGAGGAGAAGGAGTATTTGTCGAAAGGTGACGTTGCCAAAATGAAAAACTGAATTTAGCTCAGATTTTTAACTCTTTGACATGTTTTTGGCAGCTTAAATATGAAGTCGAGTTTGTCCTTTACTTACGTTCACCAGTTTTATACATTTTTTAAAAAAGGCACCCAAACAACTGAGTTTAGTTATGACAACAAAGTCCTTTTTGTTTGGTTTTAGGGATCTAATTTTTAGTTTTAAATGAAACCTTCTCACCACATTGACCACATAGTTAAAAGCAATGTTTTTTCTAGTCTACCAAGGAAATTATTCTGGCTCTTTTTTCTTTGACACAAATAACACTGCAGGGGGAAAATAGGTACTGAACATGAAGCTGAACTGATCTGAAATGTTGCTTACGTGCAGTCCTTTCAGGTTTTTGAAGTCATTCTCCTTGATCTCAGTGATCTTGTTGTTCTGCAGGTCCAGCAGGGTGGCATCATCAGGGATGTCTTTAGGAACCACCTTCAGGCCTGAGAAGGAATTTAAAGAAGAAACAAATGAACTGAACTGAGCAGGAGAAACATTTTCACTGTAATAGGAAATCACATTTTATCTATTATGTTTTTGTTTCCCAAAATATCTGTTGGTGATGGAAACTGAAGACCTTTTAAAAGGTGATGTGTTTTTCTGAACTTCACCTCGAACTTCCTCTCTCATAAATATTTAATATAACGGAAGAATAAAAGTACTTTAAATAAGTTTGGGGGTTTTCCGCTCTTAAAAGATCGTGGCATTTTCGGGAGATTAAATGACTATTTGATGTGCTTCGAGGCACATGTGGTGGAAATCGAGCTTAAAACAAATTTCCTTTGCAGAAAATAAGCAAGCGCATACCTGGCCAAGAGTGTCACACAAAAAGCTGTTAAAGAAGAGCTCGCTTTGTGTCCACAGTCCACATAAATATGTATTTCTGGACAGATTTTGGCTCAAATGTTTTGTGATGACTTCTCTTCAGCTCACCCAAACATTACCTCGCAGTTGGTTTGTTTTGCTGTCAGCTTTTCCAGCTCGGTAGCGAATGACCCATAAACCCTCACAGCTGTTTGTGGTCAGCAACACCATTACAGCACAGTCTACACCTCTGGACCCACACAGTCAGCCAGCTTTTATTGTTCCTTTCAGAAAGTCAGACGACAGCAGACGTCGCTGCAAAACCATTCCTATTTTAGTGTTACTTGAAGGTTTGAAAGTGCACAAATGAATGAAATAGAAGTTGTTATTGTAATACGAAAAAGTCTAATCAAGAGCAAGATATGATTTTAACACTATATCCATCCATCCATCCATAGGCCGACCAGTACTGGAGACTGGGAACCATGGCCTCAGATATGGAGGTGCTGATCCTTTTCTCAGCTATGTCACAATTGATTGCAAACTTATCAGTACACCACGACGGCAACAAGAATTTAAAGTAAACTACCATAATTCAAAACAACAAACTCACCATACAACCCTTGGTGAGATGCACACTTGTTCATAAGACACAAAATTTTGTGCTCTAAAACTAGACAAGTACAAAATATTTTAATCAGCTTTTAATTATTCAGTAACTATGCACAGATATACCCTTTCATTCTAGTGGTGTAGCTTCATTTGTTTCTACCATATTTTCACTTTTAGCCTCTCAGTTTATCCATTCATTCCACAAACACCACGTATAAAAGAACAAAATAAAACTTTTGATATAATGGTGCATGCGTGCTTGATAAGCATATTTCGGTACCACTTTACAATAAGGCTCCCCTTACAGATGGCTTTTAAAGAGTTTATAGATAGGTTATTAATTCATCTGTAAACACTTTATAAATCATTAAGTGTTTATTGTGCATTATTTCAGGTAAAAAAGAGACTAAACTGTCCGGTTTCTTTCCAAATACTGTGCCAAAACTGTTTGTGTATTAAACATTTCAGTTTACTACCTTGTAAGCACAATACTGATTAGGAAACGCATATCTTCACATTTAATATTGTACTGTATTACTGCATTATAAATATCCACAAATATTAAAGGGATCCTTATTGTAAAGAGTAAAACTCTACACTATTTTGGATGGGGTGGGATTATTTGGTTAACATGATGTGTTTTTACTTTTTTGATACATCATTGTTGACAGTTACATGTTTGAACAATAATTTCAAATATTGATAATCAACACAAAGTTTTAAAACATTTTCAAATTGAAGACTAACTTTTGGCATTTATAAATGTTTGTCATTTATAAATAGTGTACTGTATTACACTTTATGATAAGTCCCTTTGACAGCTGTGAATATTTATAATGCAGTAACACAGTACAATATTAATTTATTAAAATATGTGTTTATCGTTATTGTACTTACAATGTAGTAACCTAGTCTGAAATGTTTAATATAGCATCTTCAGATGTAATATATATGTGAACAGATTTGTCTCATTATTTGGTAAGAAACCGGAGAGTTTTGTCTCTTTCTTATCCTTAATTATTGCATAATAAACATTTATTTATGATTAATAACAGATGAATTAATAATCTATCTATAAGGGGAGCCTTATGGTAAAGTGGTACCCACATTTCTGTTTTCCTTTTTAAATATTTTGCTGCCATCTTGCTCGCTGAAAACTTCCAATCCATATTTTTGCAAATGTACGCTTTTTGAATGGTGAGCCGAGTCGTTCGTCTTGCCCAGGCCTGCATATGTTTAAACACAGATGTTTATTCCCTCTGAGCCTTTAGAGTGCGTGTTTGTGTGTTTGCCAGCTGGTCTGGGAAGCAGATGGTCCAGCTTGTGCAGGACTGGAACACGGAGGTGTCACCTTTAAGGTGGGGGGGGGGGGGGTTGCTGCTATCTGACCCGAGAGGCTGAATGATGTCATGGAGCTGATCGCTCATTCCATCATTTCTGTGTCTGTGTAAGTTGGTGATCGGATCCACCTGCTCATCTGATTGTATACATAGTCTTGCTCAAAGTTCACGCTCTGGTTGTTCCTCTGAATCCCAAACATCCCTCGTTTGCTTATGTCTGTCTACTCCTCCTTATTTTATCATCAYAGAATCCCCTCCTGTATTAATCTTTCCCAAAGAACACGCCTCTCCCTTTCCAAACATCGCTTGAGCCAAAAARCTATCAACTGCGCTTTTATTTATAAGGAGCAGGAATRACCAAAGTAAGGGATTTTTCTGTGGTAGTGTTTGCTGAGATGAGTCAAACGGCTGCTTACGCTGTACATCAGGTTACACAAACAGAGCAGATGAGCTCCAAGCGCCTATGACAGCCGGCTAAATTGTTTTGACTCCGCTAAATTACAAAAGTAGACCTTAGTCATTTGTGAATACATGAAACTCAAACACGTCCCTGATTTTTTTAAGGCRCCGCGGTTTGTTCAGGACTTTCCAAACCTTTCATCTTCGCCAGAAAGCAAATGRCCTTGAAAGAGCCGATAAAGCAGTTGTTACAGGAAGTGAAGTAAGACTCGCAGCATCTGTGAGTGATTAACATATCAACACTGGCTCTGGGGGAGTTTGCAGTCACGTGGAAAACAATACACCCTTTAAATGACCCAGAAGKTTTGGGTGCAAGAAAGGGGAGGAAGTGAACAATTTATTGTGCTCTTATAAACAGCAATGTAACGCAGCTCAGACGGAGCTCAGTAAAGCTACTGAAGATGTCTTATCCCAGTGTCTGACTCAATAAACCAGTAGAATAAAATGCAACATCAGAAACAAAATAAAAGCAGCAGATTTTTCTTCTCTCTTTCTTTCTTGGCTGAATTGTTTTACCAGTCCTGGTTTGATTTCTGCAAACCACAAATGTATGCAAATTCAACTTTTCGGGAAATGTTTTGAAACAAAAGTTTCCCTCTTTAGTGATTCAGAAAACCAGCGCTCCGGCATGCTTCATGAAAAAAAAAAAAGCAACAAAGGAACCAGAGGAGGAGGAGGAGGAAGCTGACTTCACAGAAACACATAAACTAACCCCAACTGTTGTAGCTATGTGGCGGTGACACATAAGGTGCAAAGATTACATGTTTACAGATTCCGATAGAAACAGTGCGAAATGAAAGTCAGATGGTAAACACATTTCAAGACTCGTTTCGGGCAACATCAAGACTCGTAAAATTCCAAAATCAAATGCTGGAGAATATTCTGGAACGAGTTTAAGCTTTTCATCAAAAATACATTCGATTAGATCAAACTTTATTGAGCCCTTCAGGGAAATGATAAACATGGAATGGATTCAAACAGAACTGTAATTTTGTACCTTCGTTTTTTTTCTAACCAGCTTTACCTCCTGCTGTCATTTTCCATTCCTGGTGCCAAAATGACTTGATTTGGGGGAAATAAAACCCATCATGGTAGAACTCTGGTTTSGGCTTTTCTAATCACTTGGTGCAGAACTCAAAAGAAGTTTGCCTCAGTTCATGAAAACCACATGTAACCACATTCCTTTAAGATGTTACTCTAATTTTACCCATCCTGGCTTACTTCTTAATTTGTCCTGGTGATCAGAAAAGTTCATCATCAAGCGTTCTGGTGCACATGGTAACAAAAACATATTAATGGAATACATTTGAGGAAAAAAAAMCCAGTCTTACCAAGATCGGAGCACTGGATCACACGCAGGTGGCACTGGCATCTGAAGGGGCACTTAGGTTCATCAAACACCCTAGGTTGTTCAGGTTCTGCATGCTCTGGGATCAAACCTGACCCAGGTTCATCTTCCATCATAAATTCTAGGAAGCCGGTTTGATGGAAGGGCAGAGCCCAGCAGGCTGTGACCAGGAGCAGAGAGAGRCAGGCCGTCCTCATGGTGCCGCTAGCAGAGAGCCTGCAAGGAAACAATAGAAATGTTGGAATGAATACTTGTTTGATATGGCACTGTAATATCGCATTTATCATTTTATCACAGATTTCCTTTAAGGAAAAACTAAATGTAAACTCAAATCCGAGAGATGAAAACAGTGGTGAGAGGAGTAGGAYGGGGGAATCCACGGTTAAACACAGAGGTGACAGATTTTTATTGAGGTTGGTCAAAAACGCTGCTTTGGTTTTGGCAGAAGGTGAAAAGTCATGGAGC